AATATACAGGGATAGTCACCTGCAAATAACTGGGAATTATCGTGCCAATGAGATGCTTTCTGCAGAAGAAATAACAACTACTGTTCTAAACAACGACAGCCCTCTCTCCATGTTGGGACTCCAACACAGCTAATTCTCCTGGCTATATTTTAGAGCTATCAACAAGAAAAGACTGAGTTTCTTTAATGGCAGAGGTCCTTTTCAATCCAAGCCATTCTATGTTTCTATGATGCAGATAAAGCATGGCAAGCAGCAGAGATGCAAGCTGAAAACAGGGAGCACGAGCTCCAGAAGACTACAGGTCCCATGGCTATGACAGGGATGCTTCCATCAAGAATCCCAAGTGTTTTTTCTCAGGTCACGACTTCAGCATTTAAAGCTCAAAATGCTAATTAACCAATGGCTTAAACATGCAAGTTGACTCTTTCCTCTTAAGCAAAGCATTTGTGAAATTTGTTTTCATATTACCAAGAATTAATAACACCAAGCTCAATAAATGCAAAGTGATGCACAATGGAGAGGAAGTGTTACAACATGCACGCTCCTTTCACAAAATGAAGCTAACAAAAAGGAACTACATCTCACAACTGGCACCTAAACAGTAACTTTGCCCAAGGCTGCTACTCACTGGAAAGCAACAGGAGGTATAGGAAAGAAGAGAATAATTGAGGGATTATGATAATGTTACTAGGTAAAATTAGCAGAGCTGCCTCATTAGGAGCTTGTTATTTTTAATTCTATGATTCTGTGACACAGTGAAGAGATGAATTCTATTCAGAAAACAGACTGACACCAAACACAGCAAAGAATCCCCCAGTAAGAAAGTTTTGGGGCAGACAGATGTGGAACCTCTTTGCTTCCTCCTACATATGACCAAAATCAGTTTTCTCCCATGGAAAAAAAGTCAGGGTATTCAAGAGATAAGTGACATTTTTTAAGTACATCCTGTAGTACAGTTTAGTTAAAGACCAAGAACATAAGCCTCCAAAGGACAATGAAGGAGATTTGCAGGGCCAGCCAACACTGTCATAACTAAGTTGTAACACAATGCTTAAGACAGGCTTAATGGTTAACCATCAGGAAATTGAGAAAAAAAAAAAAATTGTCACAGTACTCACCTATCATAGCACTACTTTCTCTTCTTTTGAGCACAACGGTAACAATCCAAAAGAGAGATTCTGGAGTTAAATGAACCCAGTGTGTCACTAACCAATACCTAGACTGCTTATAATTAAAGGCACCATTAAGCCTTCAGAAAGCCAGATGCTAATCCATGTCAAAGTTGAATTTGAATTCAGCACAGCTGAATTTGTTCCAGGAGATATAACACCCCCCTAAAGGGATATATTTTTATGGAAGCTTTTTCTGTACCCTGCAATCTTAGGATCATCCAAGATGCTTTCGCACCATTTTTAAAAGGCTTTCCCCAGCTAATTTAAGATGGAATAAGTGGGGCGAAAAAAAAGAAGAAAACGCCCATCCAATCACTGATACAGAGAAGAAGTTAATAAAATAAATAATAATCTTGTTTACACGGAGAAGCAAATCTCCTCTTCTGTATTTCTCATTTTTGGGAGGTGAAGGGAAAGGTAATATTCCAAGCTTCTTTTTCACATGCTTATTTTACCAGGGTCAGAAAAGCCAAGCAATTGTAAATTCCTGCAGATTGATAAATACCACAAGCATAGTTCATCCACTCTTGAAAAAGTTTTTTTATCAGCAATGCAGAAGGATTATTAAGTATCATGAAAAGGGCTCTCACACAACCTGGTTTGGGTAACAGAACACCATGAATTATCTTTTTGACGAAGACACTAATTGTGTTTTCCCCTCTGCACTTAAGGGGGAGAGGACAAACTAGAAATCAACTCAGAAACAACCGAGATACTAAAAATATTACCATCAAAACGCACGAGGGTCAGAAAATAAGTTCTTAGCTGCTTTCTCAGTATAATGCAGAAAGTAAGTCTATTCTTAAGTATACAGCAAGGCCAGTGAGTTTGGGAAAGAGACAGATGGGAGAATATGTAGGAGAGTATGTTCCCGAGTACTTCCACAAATAGGCTACTGAAAGTTGAGGAGATGCTGCCTCACAAAAGATGTGGAAGTCATAGGAGATTGGAAAGAGATAGAAATGTACTACTTGTTCCATGGCACCACCTCCACTTGCTTATCCTTTAGTTTCCACTATTTGCAAATGAAATGGCCACCCATGCTCTTGGGAGTGACAGATACCAGTTTATCAGCCTTCCCCAGCAACATGGTGTTGATCACCAGAAAGAATTATGGTGGTGGTTCTTCATCAATGGATCACGCTTACTTTCCCCATCTCTGAGTCCCATTCTTTGGTTACTTTCAGCCACTCCTGGAACACAAAGCTCTTACTGGCCAGCTACAGCCTAATTGGGAAACTGGGAAATTAATTGTGCCAGGAGATGAAAGATACATCTGCAGGAAATCAGGCATCTTCTGCCCTTCAGAAGATGGAGCACTGAGAGCAGAGGGAAATCTTCCTTTTGAGGCTCATGATACAGATGCTGGTGATGGGTTAATGGTTAAACTAGATGATCTTAGTGGTCTCTCCAACCTTAATAGTTCTATGAAATATGTAATTCAATTGAATCAGTTAAGTGATTATGCAGCTGTAATTCAAAATTAAACCTAAATGATCCATTGCAAAAACTTGCCTTTTTATTTTCAATATTTCTGACATCCAATGCACAGCCTTATTCACAGTCAAGTCAGAGTAAAATCAGTTACTGCCAACACAGCTGGATCCCAACAGCCCTTTTACTAAAGGTCAGTGTAAAAATTAAGGGAGTGACAAAGATTACTAAGAGAAATACAGCAACACAGCTGCACGTTTTCCAATCAAAAGTCATCTCATAGGGATGGAAATAACCCAGGTGCAGGAGGATGCAACAGTGCGTATGCATGGCAGTTTGCATTAGTTCAGCTTCTAACCAAATCATAACTAATCACAGAATCACCACGGTTGGAAAAGATCTCCAAGACCATCTAGTCCAACCATTCACATACCATCAACATTTCCCCACTTAACCATGTCCTTCTGTACTACAACTAAACGTTTCTTTAACACCTCCAGAGACTGTGACTCAACCACCCTCCTGGGCAGCTCATTCTAGCATGTCTGCCCTTTCAGAGGAGAAACTTTTCCTAACATCCAACCTGAATCTCCCCCTGAATCTCTTCCACACAGTCTTCCAGCCATTCTGCCCCAAGCCTGTAGCACTGCCTAGGGTTGCTGTGGCAAAAGTGCAGGATCTGGTACTTGGTCTTGTTGAACTTCATCCCACTGGCCTCAGCCCAGCAATCCAGCCTGTCCAGATCCCTCTGAAGGGCTATCCTACTCCAGGCAGATCAACACTTCCTCCCAGCTCAATGTCCTTTGCAAACTTACTGAGGGTATGCTCAATCCCCCAGTCTAGGCAATTATTAAAGATTGAACAGGATAGGCTCCAATACCAACCGCTGGGGAACATCACTTGTGATCAGTCGCCAGCTGGATTTAACTCAATTCACCACCATAATTATTGCATGCACAATTACTGTATTGTAGTTGTAAACCTAAATTGTCATTTCCAGTTGTCAGATGAACAAATCAGCTGACATAAGCATATTTGCCTACAGTTCCTGAAAAGATAGGTAACAGAGTGCAAAGAGGCCTATCCAAGGCTTACGTGAAGAGGAACTAAAAAAAGAAAGTTCTTGTTTCTCATATATTTCACAAGTCAAAGCATTGCTTTCCAGTTTCCATGAGCTGTATTTATTTATGACCGTTCTTAATTCAAGAAGCAAACTAGAAATGATAATGCGTGATCTTTCTGCAAAATGAAACCGAGATGGATGAAAGATGAGAGGTATAATTTAAGACAGCATATATTTTTCACTGTACCAAGAATGGTGCATTCAGGCTGCAAGAAAGGTTGCTAGTAAATTGAAGTCAGCAAAAGGTAACAGAAGAGTTTACAAATAATATCTCAAAAGAGAAAGGAGATCACTTGAGCATCCAGAGAAAAGAACAAGCAGACAGTACACAAGATCCCTCCTCTCCCCAGACTGTGTGAGCACAGTCATCTTCAGAGGCTCACAAGATCCTGAGATGAAGCATCTGAGATGAAACATCTGAGACTTGCATTGGTGCCATCCGTAGTAGCACCTGTTGTGACACCTCCTCACCAAAGCCACGCGTACAATGACAAACAGGTTTGAGTCATCTCCTTTCTCCCAACTGGCTCATTCCTTTTAATGTAGAAGTGTCAGCAGCCAGGATCTTCCTTCCAAGAGCACTCGTTTCCCCGAGCTGCCTGGGTTAAGCTCAGCCTTTTTTGTAAATCCTACAGGAGATCAAGCGAAGAGTTCATTCCTTTCTCTCTGAACACTAAAATCTGATGAAAACACAGTTCCTCAAGTAAATGAGAAATTATGTGCTCTTGTTGGAAGAATGGAGGTCTACACTGCACATCATCAACAGGCAACCAAAGAGACAGCACTGTGTCACTCTTTAATGTCTTTTCCTTGTCAGCTCAAAGTCCAGCTGAGTGTTGCATGCTGAGGGCATAGAATCATAGAATGGCCTGGGTTGAAAAGGACCACAATGATCATCTAGTTTAAACTCCACTCTATGTGCAGGGTCGCCAACCACCAGACCAGGCTGCCCAGAGCCACATCCAGCCTGGCCTTGAATGCCTCCAGGGATGGGGCATCCACAACCTCCTTGGGCAACCTGTTCCAGTGCCTCACCACTCTCTGTGTGAAAAACTTCCTCCTAATATCTAACCTAAACCTCCACTGTCTCAGTTTAAAACCATTCCCCCTTGTCCTATCACTGTCCACCCTTGTAAACAGCCATTCCCCTTCCTGTTTATATGCTCCCTTCCAAGTACTGGAAGGCCACAATGAGGTCTCCCTGAAGCCTTCAGGGCAGGCTGAGTCTCAACTTACTTTCCAGCATGGATCACCAACATACACAGTCTTACCTATCACCAAGCAACTTAAAATCCAGCATCCCTGGGCAGCCTGATGTAGTGCCTGGCAATCCTGCCCACAGCAGGAGAGCTGGAACTAGATACCTTGAGGTCCCTCCAACCTCAGCCATTCTATGTTTTTATGACAGTTACCATGACCTCACAGAGGAGCTACTCTGCATATCTGAGTTCTCTGGGACCATAATTTCTTTGGTTAGGGGTCCAGGGGAGGACAAAGGACACACTGAGTTGTGACAGGGGAAGGTCAGGCTGGGTGTTATGAAAAGCTTTCTCACCAGAAGGTGGTGAGCATGGAACATCTCTTACAACACTCCCTCTGCCACAATGACTCCACTCTCTTGTTCTATACCAACATATATCCACGGATGTTTTGCCACCACAGCTTCAATTCCCACTCACTTTTCAATTCCCTCTCCAAAGTATCCTCCCAAGTACCAAACAAGCAGCAAGCAGCACAGATGAATAATCTAGACCTATACACTTACTGACTGGTTGACTGGATGCACTAACCATTCAACTGAATGATCCCACAGAAAATAGGTAATCGCTGAATTTTCCTCTGTTTTCCTTGTGGACATTGAGATATTAAGCTCTTATGTGCTTCATGAACAAGTTCGCTGATGGTTGGGTGGAGAAGGAAAGCCCAGATCAGTGATCTGTACTCTTCTCTCTGATGTGATTAACTCAGCCAACCTACTAAAGTGGAAAAAGCATCAAGACACCAACAGGAGAAAGCCTTAAAGGAAGTGAGAGACTTCAGACTTTCAAAAGATAAATTCCACTTCTGAAAACAACCTAACAGTGCTCATTTGTTCTCACTTTCATACCCTGGACCCACACGCTGTGTTTGTATTTAATTTTCTGGTTCGCCAAGTAGAAAAATAACCCATTCCTCAGGCTTCTCCTTTTATTCATGCATTTGGTCAGAACCAAGCTGAACATGCTGATACGTCATTAAAGGTTTCAGGTACTCCTAGTTCTGGCTTGCACTCACAGTATACCAAAGCATCAATAATGGATGCTCCACACCACGGACAATGGCACTGCCCAGAATAATCTATTTTTGGTATCACACGCCAAACAAGGTCCCATCATACCAGCCAAGGTCATTCCACACTATGATGGCTCTCTCTTCATCTATGGATGAAGGCAAGATTAATCAAACCCACAGAGTTAAAAATCTTAGGATCACAGAATTGTTTGAGTTGGAAAGGGACCCTTAAAGACCATCTAGTCCAACTCCCCTGCAATAAATAGGGTCACCTACAGGTAGATCAAGGAACTCACAGCCCCATTCAGCCTGATCTTGAATGTCTCCATGGATGGGGAGACCCAGCCACCACCTCTCTGGACAACCTGTTCCAATGCCTCATCATCTTTAGCGTAAAAAATCTCTTCCAGTCGTATCCAATCTAAATCTCCCCTTTTTTAGTATGAAATCATTTCCCTTTGTCCTATCACAACAAGGCTTCCTAAAAAGTCTGTCTCCATTTTTCTTATAGCCCTCCTTCAGGTACTAAAACCCTTCCTCACCTCTTCTAGCCAAACACCAAATCCCTTTTTTTTTATTGGTAGAGTTTCATTTTGAATAAATCAAACTATGGAATTGGCTCACCACACAGACACACGGACGCCAATACTGGCAATAAAAGAGGGTGAAGGCAATGGAAGCCTTTAAAAAAAAAATACCAAAAAAAATCTTGACTTATATTGACTTAAAGTGATGTGAAACGGCACCTTTGGGCTGCAGCTCCACGATGCATTAGCTCTGACAAGGGAGGTAAGTTAGGACCTTCCCACACTGCTCCTTCCCTGCCCCACACCACGCTTGGCTCTCCACTCTCTCTCTAATACAGCAGCCGGCAGCTCATGCTGTAAATCAGATCAATGAAACATTCAGTTAAAAATAACAGCCAAAACCTCCTCCATTGCAGGAGCGCCTTTAGTATAATAAATGATGAAAGCACGCTGCTAAAAAAAGCAAGCTGAGCAGAGAGAGATTTCTGAAGAAAAGGTGGCAAGAGCAGCACACCAAGCCCAGCCAGCAGAAAAGGGACAGACAGAGAACAAAACTGAAATCAAACCTCTGGCTGAGGCCCCACACATCCATAAGAGGGAGGAACTGATCCATATTGACCTGCAGCTCAGCAGTGTGTCCCAGACACACACCTAAGACCTTTGTTGTTTCCCAGCAGAACCATGATTAAATACCAAATTAAATTAATAATGACCCCACATTAACCATTCAGTGTCAGTAACCATGATAGTTCAATGTCCTGCTCCCACCATAACAGTGCTGTGGGTCCAATATCTGGGTTGGGATGCTCCAGGCTCTACCAGGTGACCAGAATAACCCTGATATATAACCCAGCACCTCTAGACAGTGGTCATGTGGCTTGAAGAGGACATTACCTGCCCATTCTAGCTCTGCATGGACAAGGAACAAGAGCAGGACATCCCAGGAAACTATTATTCTCCCACTGGGAGAAAGCCCTTGGGCATCTCATGCATTATTTATGCATCACAGTTGAGAAAAAAGGTTTTTTACAACCATTTTTATGATGTTAGGAAACATGAGGTCTTTTTGGTGTTTGGGGTTTTTTTTGTAGGTTTTTTTTCCCCTCTTGTTTCTGCAACATCTGTGGCCAGCTCTCAGCTTTACCATGCAAATGTGTGGCAGTGCGTATCTCTAGGACACGTGCTGCAGCTTCTCAGCTGCTTCCCATCCCATTTCCATCTCAGCTGTTTCCAATGCCAAGATGCAAACCTGCTACTGTAGCTGCAGATTTTAATGTCTTTTACAAACATGTAATTCCCTCTGTATTTCATTTCATTTTCCAAACAGCAGCAGTAGCAAGTTTACTGAGCTGGCTAATACATAAGGACACCATCTCCAGTGCAAAGGAATAGCAACACAGATGGAATGAGAAGTACAGGGGGGCACAGCATCCCACCTGAGTCATAGAATCACAGAATCACTGAATCACTAAGGTTGGAAAAGATCTCTAAGATTATCTAATCCAACCATCAACCCACTACCACCATGCCCATTAACCATATTTCTCACTGCCACATCTATACGTTTCTTGAACACCTCAAGAGATGGTGACTCCATCATCTCCTATGAAGTGGTTTGGAATGATGCAACGTTGGCCTCTTGGCTTTCAAGCTTTTGTTAATTCTCACAATGGAAGCCACAGACCTCCCATATTCAAATCAAACTCAATGTTAAAAAAGAGGGATTGAAAAATATATTAAAAATGCACTCTTAAGGTACGTCCTGCGGCATATTTCAATACAGGGTTTCCACTTATTTTCAGTGTTTACACAACTAAAAAGTTTAATCTCTCCCACATATTTTAACTTAAGTGCACAAAGAAATTCACCTGCGTAGGACATTGCCAACAACCGCATCTCTGCAGTCCTGCCAGGCTGCAGACTCCCTAAAGCCACCCTTCTGGAACGTAAGATTTCCTCTGGACCTACTATTCAAGAAGTCTCCAGCTGGCCTTTGCTTCCACTCTCTTAACTGCAAAAATTCATCAACATACAAGTTAAATTCAAGCTACCCATGTCACGAACCATCCTTCTTTTCCTGTGTTTACACAGCTTCTACCTTGCAGTATCTTATATCCTACAGCTCATAGTCAATGACTACCAACTGGACCTTCAACGGCAGGACATATATTTGTACAGCTCTACTCACTCTACGTGCAAGTAAGAGCTTTCCAATCAGATATTAGCGTTCAGTCTCTTCTCCATCATTCCCACAGCATGTTGCCATACATCTTCATCAGGTTCTTGCTTCAGCTCACCATGATGGGGTACGGCTCATTATTTTGGGGACAGCTTCCAGGCACAGTCTCTCAGCTGTCTCTTACAGACCACTGCTGTGCCAAGTCCAGATACTGTCTGAAATCGCATGTGCTAAAAGAAAAAAACATGCACATAATTCACCTCTTTTCTAAAAATGGTCACAAATAGGTAGGTGGATGGCTGGACTAGATGATCATAGAGGTCTTTTCCAACCTTAATGATCCTGTGATTCTAACAGTGAACAAGATGTAATATACACTATATTTTAGTCGACGTGTGACTATGTCAGAGCCAAAGCAAGGTGATTCCAGTCCATAACATTCCTGATTCACCTAGAAGGTGCAGAACCTCAGATCCCAAAACTAGAAGGTAGCAAGTGTAATACAGCATCAAATTGCTCCATTTGCTTCATATTAAATAGACAGGACAGAGGTACTGATGCTGAAGCAATTCTCAGCACTTCAGGCAAGCTGTATCGAATTGCTAGGTTTGCACAAACTCTGTAATGTAGGGAGGAACAGAGACAAGGCATGCTCAGCAATTGCCTCCATAGCATCCTACCGCTGGAAAATGAAGAGAAAAGAATCTTGGTTTAATGGGGTGTTATTCTGATTCAGTATAGCACAGAAATGGATTTGCATCATTTAGTTTTTAGCCCTCCAGTAGATTAAATTAAAAAAAAAAAAATTACAAACATAACAAGATACAACGGCAATTATGAAAAGGGTGGCCAGAAATTGGCGCTACATTTATCACAGGAACATCTGGGGAGTTCCCCTGAACCAGCTCATATCATTGATGAAGGCATTTCTTTGCATCAGCCTGCTGCAGTACGCAGATAAACCACAGCTGCACTGCATGCATAAACTGCGCTTAGATACATAAATCTTAACAAAGTGGCTTCTTATTTTGAGGCAAAACCAGGAAGAATTGTAAGTTGCATTAAAGATTTGCTTTTCCACCCTCTTCTCAATCGTCTGAAAGATCAATTGAAGTGATTTTGCATAAAACAGGCAAAGACGAGCGCTTTCCAAAATAAATAAATAAATAGCTTTTAATGATTTTCATAGGAGATGAGCACAGCTGATTAAGGATTCACAAAGCAAAAATGAAGAAAAGGTTTAACCATCCATTTAAGAAGAAATAAAATACTTTTCTGAAGCCTTCCATCACTTGCAACGTTTTGAGTGCTCAAATACAAATATTAGTAACACGCCACAACAAGCCGAATTGTTTCCCCTCACACAAGAACACTGAGTCCCTCCTCTACATACACACATTTGCTGTTTCCACTGCTCTTCTATTTGCAAAGATTTGAAAAAGATACTACAAGAAGACCTGTGGCCATTTTAACACATTCCTTCCCTTCTGAAAAACTTGCTCTTCTGGGTACCAGTCCTGCAACACTGTGAAACCATGGAACACCAGCATAAGACCTCTGCATGTTGACCATCAATGTGACTCACAGGAATAAGCCTTGGCAGTGCAAGGGCATCTTTGAGCTCAACTGGTTCCCTATTTACCAAGCTTAATGGACACTGGAGGGAAGGACTGAAGGATCACCCCACCAAGCAACCTGAAGACCTACTTTCTGGTTCCTAACATTGCTCCATATGATTCCTTGAAAGGCGTGGAACCATTCCCATCAGAAACATTTCACAGGATCACAGAACCATTTGAGTTGGAAGGAATCCTTAAAGACCACCTACTCTAACTCCCCTGCAGTGAACAGGGACATCTACAGCTACACCAGGGTGCTCAGAGTCCCATCCAGCCTGACCTTGAACATCTCTAGGGATGGAGCGATCACAACCTCTCTGGGCAACTTGTTCCAGGGCCTCATCATCCTCACTGTAAAAGACATTTTATTTATATCCAGTCTAGATCTCTCCTTTTTTCGTTTGAAACCGTTTCCTCTTGTCCTATCACAACAGACTCTGCTAAAGAATCTGTCCCCTTCTTACAGCCTCAGTTTAGATACTGAAAGGCCACTCTCAGATCTCCCTGGAGCCTTCTTTCCTCCAGGCTGAAAAGCTCCAGCTCTCTCAGCCTGTCCTCGGAGCGGAGGTGATCCATCCCTTGGATCATTTCTGTGGCCTTCTGCTGGACATGCTTCAAAAAGTCTGTATCTCTCCTGTACTGAGGGCTCCACTTCTGGATGTAGTACTGCAGGCGAGAGAACAGCAAAGCATTATACCATCGTGCCATGATCAACACAGAGGACCTCTCCAAGACCAAAGTTATTGGACAGCAGTTTGGAGGAATTCTCTCTCCTTACTCCCAGAGTGGAGTGCTTGAGCATTCTTCCACTTTACTCAGGTGATGTCAAGTCATCAGGCTGACTTCCAGCAACGCGCTCTGAAAAGGAAATCTCAGCACTAGGCTAAGTTGTGATAGAGCACAATAATCTTCATCACACCGAAGTGCAGGACAGCTGGCAGAAAAGAGAAACCACTCCTCTACTCAGCTGAAATAGGAAAAAATATCTCGCAGTATTAAAAAAAAAAAAAAAATAGAACACAAATTCAAAAGCTACAAGCTGAGTAATTCATTTGGACAACACACATTGCCAATATTCTGTGTGAACTGTTTAAGCTGAAGGTTCACAGTTTAATCAGAACCACTGGGGAAAAAAAATAAACGGAAATGCTAAGGTCAGAAGCACACAGTTTATCCTGAGTAAACGAAATAGGTTTCTCAATAAGGGACTTCTATTTAAAATAAAAAATATATATATGCTGCAGTTTGTCCACTGTCCAGTAAGGGGAGTAGGTGCCTAGAGCTTCAAGTCAACTGCGCATATGCAGTTTTGGGTGGAGAAAATGCAAATAAACTATTCTGAAGCACTGACATTTAGACCATGCTGTTAGTTGCCAGAAGATGAGAGAGGCAGATAGAAATATTCAGAAAAACCACTAAACCAAAGGACTGGAAAAGGGAAAGGAACCAAGAGAAAATGCAGTAGAAGAAAGGCATGATTTTTCTTGGGAATGGGTCTTTAATCTCCCTGTGAGGCTTTATGGAGAGAAATTGAAGGTCATCCATTTGGAAGCAGAAAGGCAAAGGGCAAATGATATCCCAAGCTCCATCTTGATTTGGTAAGAAGAGAGAAATCTCAGTGCGTTTCTAAATATGATACTCTTGTGGTAGCACTGAATCACAGACTGGATGAGGCTGGAAAGGATAGCTTGGGATCATCTAAGTCCAATTCCTCCAGCAGCCTCGAGGAGACATGGAGGAGGGTACCACATGTCTTCCCCAAGACAGTGGAGGAGCAGCAGCAAGAGGTAATCAGAGTACTCACCAAGTCCCGTTGCTAGAAACATAAATAGAGAAAAATAATACAAAAAACAGCACTCAAACCCTCTTGCAAGGAGTGGGATTTAATAATATCATATGGTATCTAAAAGAAAATGTCAGCAGTAGGAACTCATTAAGCATTGTATGGGGAAAAGCAGCAAAAATCAGTACAGCATCTACACCCATGCTGAGCTCACCAAGGGAAACCAGGCTGCCACTGGCTACAGCATTGCAGAGAGGAGCCCTCAATGCTTATGTTCCTCTTTGCAGTTAATCTCATTAACCTTGTATTCACTCTATTGTTGGTGATTACTTGGGACACTAATAGGCATACTTTTCCATACTGTTTACTCAACATTACAAAGCTGTATATGAAACGGGGCTGGAACAAGCCAATTCTCCCCATGCTATGGAAAACAGAAATAAAGAAAGAAAATCCTTGTTACAGAGATTTGTTGCAAAGATC